ATCACTTTCTCTTATGTTATTCTTTGTTTTAATCCATCTATCATCTTCTCTTTCTGTCTTTCCTTATGTTATTCTTTGTTTCTTCCTTCTATTTTTATGTTATTCTTTGTTTTTTGCTTCTATCACCTTTATTTATGATCTTCTTTGATTTTATAAATCTATCACTTTCTCTTTTGTTATTCTTTGTTTCTTGCTTCTATTTTTATATTATTCTTTGTTTTTTCATTCTATCACCTTTTCTTATGTAATTCTTTGTTTTACTCATTCTATCACTTTCACTTTCTGTCTTTCCTTATGCTATTCTTTGTTTCTTCCTTTTATTCTTATGTTGTTCTTTGTTTTTTGCTTCTATCACCTTTTATTATGTTATTCTTTGTTTTTATAAATCTATCACGTTCTCTTTTGTTATTCTTTGTTTCTTCCTTCTATTCTTATGTTATTTTTTGTTTTTTTCCTTCTATCACCTTTTCTTATGTAATTTTTGTTTTAATCATTCTATCACTTTCTCTTTCTGTCTTTCCTTATGTTATTCTTTGTTTCTTCCTTCAATCACCTTTCTTATGTTATTCTTTGTTTTTACTCATTCTATCACTTTCCCTTATGTTTTTCTTCGTTTTTAATCATTCTATACTTTTCTCTTTCTGTCTTTCCTTATGTTATTATTTGTTTCTTCCTTCTATTCTTATGTTATTCATTGTTTTTTCCTTCTATCACCTTTTCTTATGTAATTCTTTGTTTTAATCATTCTATCACTATCTCTTTCTGTCTTTCCTTATGTTATTCTTCGTTTCTTCCTTCTACCACCTTCTCTTATGTTATTATTTGTTTCTTCCTTTTATCACCTTCTCATTCTTCGTTTTATTATTGCGATCTATGCTCAAAACAGCAGTCGACAGTCGGCCGTAAAAAATTCCAAAAAGCGCGCGCCGAAGTTGACCTATACTTCCTGGGTCAAACTGCGCAGTGTGATGCGCAGTGCCTGGGCTCGAAATGAGCTAGAATCTTCAAAATCTTCCCTGGAGTAAAGTTTGGTGTAAAACGTTTTTATTTGGTTTAGAATGTCTTTCTCAATATCGATAATCTCTCCTCCCTCATTGACTAAACTCTTAATGGTGCTTTTCCTTTTATTTGCATGCAACAGCTGACTGAAGTATCTTGTGTCTTTTCCCCACTTTCCTAATATGACGCCGGGGATCGCATTAGTATGCCTTCATGAATATATTTATATCTGTCTGCGAGCTCTTTTTTAAAAAAATTCCTCTACTTTTCCTTCAGTAACTCCTTGAATAATATTATGTTCTAACTTTTCAATTTCTTTTTCAAGAAATTCTCTTTTGTCTCTTCGATCTCTGGCTAATCTTTTTGAAGAGGCTCATGAAAAGTTCCTTATTTTCATTTTCATACAGTCCCAGAGCACTCTCCTATCTTTAATTTTTAACTTTAGTTCATCCTTTAATCGGATTATCTCTTCTTTCATCTGTTTAACATATTCTACGTTTGCACAAAGACTGTTGTTAGATTTGCAATAAGATCCTTTCCTTTTTTCTATATTCTTTTCTGTTTTATCATAGAGAATCTGAAAAATTGCTAAGTGGTCGGGTGCTAAATAAAGTATTACCTCGCACTTAATAACCCGCCCTTTCAGATCTTCAGATATAAGCCAATGATCTAAACGACTTTGTTTTTTCGATGGGTTTCTTTCTCTCCAAATGTCTATTAAAATGTAACTTTTCCATAATATAAGAAGATAGATTGCTCAAAAACGCTCTTCAAAGATTACAATATTATGTGAATCGGTAACATGGTGACAACATAATACATCTTAAATCAAATCTTTTGTAAAAGGTGCATTAAACGATTCTCGAAAACTATTTTCCCACTCTAAAAGGGCAAGGGGTATATCCCCTCCCAGCCTAGTCAATTTGCCCACTCAAATTTTTACCACCCATTACGGCGTTTTCAACCGGGAGTCGCGAGAGTATTTTAGTTACATTGAAAATATATTTCGGAATAACGTACGTTATCGTAAAACTTAGAAACGGGATAATTTCAGGCTGCGATGTCCATAAACATCCCCATATGATGATATCACGATACTCGGACATGTCGCTGCCCTAACATCATATCATGATTCCAGCAGATGGCGCCCGAATATACCTTATATATTCTATCTTTATATTGAAATAATGAAAATATAATGTGTGATTTATAAGGCGTGGAATCCACTGGATCGGGGCGTTTTGGCGTGCGCCTGTAATCCAGCTTATAATGGAAGTTACAAACTGATTCAGCTGAGGACGCAGGTGCGAAACTGAGTCGCGGCTTTCGGATGGTGACGTTTAAAGCCGGTCCCCAGACGTAAATAATCATATCTGATTGTTTGATACACGTCTGTTAAAAAAATCAATTACACAATTCAAATTCTCAAGGCGCACTTGTGAAAAAAGAGATCGCATAATAACATCTGCATTATAAACGAAGGCTGGAGCAGAAGTAAGATATAACATACAAAAAAGACAAAACAATTAAATATATACCGAATTAAACAGATACGTTTTATGACAATTTTTAAACAATTCAACTGATCTGTGGATGTGATATAAGCACCTAAAACACTTCAGCTTTCGAGAAATTGAATAATCAAAAATTTACTGGTGCTCTCGGTAAATCTGCAATATTTCAAATAGCGCCTAAGGACATTCCATGGTAGCTGCGACCATGACAATCTCAGAAATGGTATGCAGTTCTAATATATAATTTCCAAACGGGAATATCGAATTGGTCGATTGTAGGCAAGAAACATTGTTTTAAAGCTAAAGTAATATCAGTCTTGAAAGGGAGCTATACAACTTATTATTTACAATTTCATCACTTTAGACTCGATTTCAAAGGCGACAACGATCATTAAATATTGTAAAATTGCATAATTATGCTTCCGAAATGATAAATTGGACCAAATTCATGACCCCATACCAATACTTTTTATTACTTTTAAGATGTCTGGAGCTTTAATTAATTTCTTTATATAATTTTTTAATTCTATATACTTCACTGTTCACGTATTGGCTTGTATTTTGAATGAAACTGAAATGATAAGTCAATGATCCCGAGGAAGACGAGATTTAAGAGATTTCTAAATATCTCAGATTTTTTTTTGCCCTGGCGCGTTTAAAATTACTCATACACAAACCATCAATCACCTTTAAATTAAACAAAAAAATAAATTCTATCTCAATTATCATCAACAGTAGTATCAGGTTGTAAGAAACTGCAAAAATGAGTGAGCGTCAGAGAAGTCCATAGCAACATGTCAATACTATGGATTAGCAAGTCAATAATTGAGAGAAATCGGAATTTACTTTTGGTTAACGAATCAGGTGTTGAATATATGCACTTTTCTTTATATTTATTTTTGTAAAAATGAAAAAAACATTGTCAAAATGTAATACCTTTTACTTCTCCTAATGATAAGAAACGAATGTTGATCAACATAAGATTTGCAGAAAATGGTTTTCCCGATGTTAAGAAACAATATATTGAGACTTGATTCCATCAAACTAAAGCCCCCATCACACGAAACTATAGTTCTCACTACGCTCTGGTAAAACAATACGGTGTTCAATAAGTTCGTTCCGCCCCCCCCCCCCCACAGAAAAGCATTTTATTGTGTTTAAAACTCAATTTGCACCATGCATTTCAGGTTATTTTGTTCATTTTCTCATTTCTAAGCATTATTAGAGATGTCACATCCCAATTTATTAAAAATGTATCTCTCCTTAGTGGTCGATCACCTGTGAAACACGCTTGGTCCAGTTATCGTCCACTAATGACGCAAGGAGGTCCTTATTCAGTATAGGCTTTTCTATGCTCACCGGTTCCCCTCTTTAAGTTGAGTTATTGTTTTGCAGTATTGAGTTTCAATATTTTTTCTTTCATAATAGACCATAGTTTCTCTATGGGGTTCATTTCTGTCAAATTTTCTGGTCAGTTCTCTTTCCTTCTCCAAACTCCTGTTGGTCTTGTTGGGCGCCATCTTTAAATGTCTAAGGTTTACAGACCTTTAAATTCCTCCTTTTTGAGCTCGTATCTCAGCCCAGCATAAGGTGTGGTCAATGTCTGCAGGCTGGATGCATTAGTATACATCCAGTACATGTACATTTGGTTGGTAACAGACTGCGCTATTACTAAAGTAGTCATATGAGCAGTTGAGTTGGCAGATAGGGGCGGAACGAACTTTTTGAACACGGTTTAGTTAATAACGGGTTTAAACTGATTACGGACTGGCTTGGACTGCCTGGAAATGGCATATTTACCCAATCTCAACTTGATATGAATTGACTGTGGACGGGGTACAGACGAGATGGACGTATTGAAGACTGTTTATGAACTTACTAGGATCGTATTATAGACAATATTTACACAATATACCCCGACCATAACCCGTTTTTTACGATTTTCTAGGACGGTTCCAGAACGTAGTGAGAAATAGTTAGTTGTGATTGGGGTTTAGCTGCTGCTAATTGATGCTCGACCACAGCACGTTGTAACACGTTCCTAGTAGGATCGAACTACGGTTATTCGGTTCATAGTACGGCAATCAGTCCGTTTGTAGTACATCCTCCTCGTTTTAAGTACGTTCTCACTCCGTCTAATTGCAGGACGGGGAAAAATTTGAACAGGCTCAAAGTTCTAGAGCACCCTTCCGGCCTTCCATATCTAGTCCGAGCCCGTGCCTGAAGTTCTAATACAGATCGTAAACAGTTGCTACTACGTTCAACTCCGTTCGCACACAGTTTGAGCTCGTTTGGCAACATTTTACAGAACGTAGTAAGAACTATGTAGTGTTTTGATAACTTTAGTTTAGACGCACATAAGAACGCTGGAAACGGATAGTAGTATTGATATGTGAGTCGTTTATTCTGGTTCCTTTTGCGATACCTTTCATCCCGATATCGATACTCACATAATACCACAAACTGGTTCGGTGTGATGGAGTCTTAACCCGTGAATCCGACTTTTATTCTTAGTTATTCTTTTTTTCACAGATAGGACCGTACGATTGGTAAACGGGACCGACTCGTCAACAGGGGTCGTAGAGGTTTGTGTGAACGGGACCCGGGGATATGTGTGCAGTTTCTACTGGGACATTTATGATGCCAATGTCGTCTGCACAAATCTTGGTTTTACCAGGGCGGTTGGTTCATTTATTGGAAGACTAAGTGAACTAAGCAACAATGAGATAGTTCTCTATAAGCCGCTTTGCGAAGGGGACGAAGCCAGTCTGTTTAACTGCCCACATGACGTCACAGGTCATTGTATCACGGGAGCGGGAGGAGTGGAGTGTTCAAATGGTAAATTTACACCCTTTCATCATGAAAATAACAATTCATGGTGTAAAATCATCTATCCGTACACTTCTGTAATGTTAATACCCCAGAGACACCTAACGAAACCGACACAATGCCGATTACAGATGAAAGAAAAGTAGTACATTGATAGATATTTATGTGTGTCCGTTCACTTAAAAATGCAAAAATGCAAAAAATGGGTTCGATCTAGAGTACATTTGAAGAAAATTTGGGTGTGTGACTAAATTATACTGTGTTAAAATGACCTTATAAACAACACACGTCTGCAAATAAAAACAATAAAGATAATCGTAATAAATAAAGCTTTTATAGAAACTGATATAATGAATGAAATTTAAACAATGATGATTTCACATGGAACCCGGTGGGAGAGTGACCATTTTCATTCCTTCCAGCCTCTTGCGTTTGTATCCTTTTCATTCTCACAATAAATTCAAATAAAGAAAGATTAACTAAACTGAATATATCAATTTTACCGTCAAACAGTGATTCCATTAAAAAAAAATAAAAAAAATTCTCAATGATTTTGAATGACTTCATCCGTCTATAGTGAAAGCAAATATCGGTTATGAGGTGAATAAAACGATTTCTTCATAATTTAGATTTTTCTTTGGTTTCAGACGAGATTTGTATTCCGGGTGTGTGTGAAGGAGACCCAGAAATCGAAGGTATGGATAATGCTTTCCTCTCGTACTTCACAAAGAGCAGCCATTTATTTCAAGCTATACTGATCAACTCACATTATTCAAATTGTTCGTAATCAAAGCATACGATTCGTCTTTTGAAAATACCTGTTCGTAAAAAAACAAACAGACAGTGAATGGTGGTAATATATTATGGAGACACTAAGGAATTACCCTTGAAATTGTTCTTGCAGTTATAATGGCTACATATGACCTAAAAGTTATTCCTACCGCGATACAGTTTCAAATACCTATCAATCTTATACAAGTTCTTAGTTTCTTTCCATTACTACACATCAACCCCTTTTCTATACTGTTTAAAGAGTCTTCTCACACTTTCACGTTAAAAAAAATTCAACTAACTTTCTGTGGAGTTTCGAATTGCTTTTAAGAGTCAGCCAATGAAAGAAAACCTCACTCCAAAAAATAAATGTAAGTATCCTGAAAATGAGATGTATTCCAGCCGTTTGATGTACAATATTCCTTACGAAAGTGAACAAGAGATATATAAATGAAGATGTTCTCGGCATGAAATAATGTCTTTTAGCATGACATGCGTGCAACCATTTTCTTGAAAGTGAAACCTCTACATGTATCATGTACACATCTTTGGTTGGAAAGACTTCTTAATTCAATAGGAGAACCTTTACTTTTCAATGAGGAAAAATCATTGCTGAGAAGCTAAAAACAATTATTTGGTGAAAAATATATAACAGGGGAACAATTGTGATTCATTTATTTAAAAATACTAAAACAAAGCACTTTACAAATTATCTGATTTATGCGAAACCTTCAGCCCAGAAGAGCCCAAACTTATTTATGAAACTATCGTTCTGACAATATTGTAGTACAAAGGATAATAGCAGGAAAATGAAATGCTGATTCACTACACACACCTGGGAAGGAAGAATCCATACATGTGAATACATTTAGTCACGTTATCAATAAAATGGTGATGCCCGTGTCTTGCGTGCTGAGAACTGTATAGTAGTCTTGCTTTACACCTCTCTCATCCACTTTGGTAGGGAATGTTGTGGATTAATCGGCAGGAATACAATAAATCTCTCAGTTAACTAAACTTATTTCTTGGGGTGAGGTTTCTTTTAAGTTTCAACTCCCATCTGCAATTATATAGGCATTATTTTTTATAATATTTGTTAAATGTTTTTTTTTGTACAGAACCTATTTGTGAACCGCTGTTAGAGCACTGTTATCGCCTATTCTGGAAAGGTAAGATTTTTTTATCAGTATCATAACATGGATCCTGCCATTAAGGGGGAGCATGGACCTCTCGTAGGTCCATGGGAGGAGGTACTGACTACTGAACAGATTTAATGGGATGTGACTACAATTACGAAACAGAGGAAAGAAAGATTCACAGATATGGGTACATGGGGCTACACACATGCGGTATCAATGTTTGGTCCAAAGCTTGAAGCTTTTTCTCTATGAGGGTATTTCAAGAGTAAACCTTCTCATATTGGCCCTAACTTATTCCACACAAAAAGAGAAGAATCAGAAGCTCACAAATCATTTTATTTAGCATCTTTACCAAAACAAAAAAAACAATCTCGTTAAAGATACAATTTTCCTTTTTTCCCTTTTTTTCTTCATTTTTCTTTTGTATATTTCAGCCTGGGATCTTCTGCAAGACAATAAACTTTTGATTTTCACTTCCCATTAACGCAAAATCATACACATACACACTCACACACACACGCACACACACACACACGCACACGCAAACACATATAAAATAAAATGTTGTTAAGAAAGTGACAAACGCAAAGACCTATATAAATGGATTTCAATCATTTAAACATATTTTCTCCCTCTTTCAGATAAGCTTCATTGTGCTAACCTGCGATTTGAACTGTTCTCTCTGAAGTGTCTGTAAGTATCACGATGCAAGAATATGTTTACAGAAGTCTTTCTTCATCATTAACAGTGAGGTTTGAAGCGTAAAAGCGTTTAGATTTGCAAACGTTGGGTATAAAATGGTAATCAGTGGGAGATTTAGGGTTTTACGGCAAGGATCACAAGTCCAAAAATGTTGTGGGCAGAAAACACTAAACCAAACCAAACAAAACAAGACAAAAGGTTATCTTATTGGGTGTGCCGTTTTGGCTAGAAACTACTCTGATAAGCCAAATAGAAAGAACAAAAAGGGAAAAAGTTCACCGGTCCATGATTCTTCTTTTCTTCCACCTTAATACCCCTTTTATTAGGGGGGGGGGGGGTTCTTACGCTATGTCGAGCTGTTAAGTTTTTGTGAGGAAATTAAGCTAGTTGAAAAGAATAGAATATTTTCGAAATTCAAGCGTTTTTAGGCCTATAATAATAATACATACTAACACTAATTTTCAGATCTGTACAGCGCTTATTTATTTATTATTTGGTCCTTCGAGGTATTTTGGCAGTCTTTTGAATTTCTCATTAACTTCAAAATAACTCTAATAGATGACAGAGCTTCTGCAGGAAAACGTGGATAGAAGAACTTTTTTTTTTTATAATTTTTTTTTTTTACTGTTGAAGGAAACATGTGCAGAGCACATGAGAAATACAGCTACATTATCGCGCAAAGACCTAGGAAAATTCAACCAACGGCAATTTTGATAGCCTTGTGCATCACTGAAATATGTGAACATTACTTTGACGTTTTATGTAATCAGAAAATAATTTCTACAGAATGAAGATAGGGTAAAGAAGAGGCCCTGTTGATTTCTCGTGTTTGTGGTGTTCCAAAGCCGAAATCCTTAGACACGTTTGCGTTGTCTGGTGCACGTGTTATTCTCCCATTTTCTGTAATAATTATCATAATGTTTCTATTAAATAAGCAAATACTGTTCTGAGAAACGAAAATGAGTTCGTTAAAACTGATGTGAGACAAAGAGGAATGCCTTCAACAGAGTTTCTTTTATATTTAAAACAATGTTATGTAATACTCAAAACCGTTCTTTTTATTAACAGGAGTTGGCAATTCGCTATCACGAAATGGAGCAAAATATACAGTGAAGTAGATATTGAACTGGTGTAAGTATTTATCCTTCGTAACTGAATATCTATCGATGAACTAGCACCTCCCCAATTCCTGTAAAAGGGTAGACATTTTGGTAGTTTTTTTCCTTCGCAAATGTTTATTCAATTTGAAAATGATTTGTGTTAAATAATTGCTGACAAATAAGATAGGTTTAATGTCATACACCATTATTTTAGCAGACGGGGGAGGGGTAGGGGGGGGGGAAGAAAAAAAGAAAAGAAAATCTATTATTGAACTCCCGGAGCCCCGAGCTCTTTTTGCGATACACACCTCGCGTTTTTCTTTCCCCTTTAAATAATACTTGGCATAACCTCTATAAACTTCATTCAAATAGTTTTTCACCATGCACTATGCTGAAATCACACTCTCAACCCCCCCCCCCCCCACCCACACACACAAGTTTAATAAAGACGCATACTCTAAATATATTTCCAATGGACTGCAAAGTTCGCCTGCAAGATGTCTGCATATAGCCAAACCTGATTTAGCAGCCACCTGTTTAGAAAGGCCACCTGTTTATAAAAGACTACATTTTTTATTTCGCTTGAAAATGGTTTCTCATAGCTAAAAGAACCTGTGCATAAAGATCTCCTGCCTATGAAGATCACTTTTCTTGTCTCCCTTGAGAGGTCTTTAAATACATTGAATTAAATCAAGCCGAAGAAATCCTCAAACGATTTTATAAATATATCTGTCTCCATTCATATTAAGATCTTGCAATACGTCTTTCCTACCGGTAAAACATCAAAGTTCTTTTTAAAAGTAAAGATATGCAGTTAACAACTAAAACATTAACCCTTGTGTTCAATAAATTTGATTGTTTTTGTGTTTTCGTAAGTGAATACTTTAGATGTAAGATTTACATGTCACATTCACAAGGAACATAAATTGGGACAATTCAATGTTTCACATACTTGAACAATTACAAAACTTAGTAAGGGTATGAATAGATTATTTGTAAACTCCCATGCCCTTCTCTCGTTGACCAGGGCATTCAGCACTGGTACTCTTCTCTCAATGGAACCGGGATTTTTCAGAAGCTTCTCAAACTGTCACTTTCTGTAAGTTCTTCATCATCCTTGTTCATTCTCTTTCACTTGATAGAAAGAAGAAGATTGCTTCATTTCCACTATGACAGCATTTTCACTTTCTCACATGTTAAACAGCAAAACCTAAGAGATTTAGTACGTATACAGTAGTATTGATCAATTCAAAGATTAATATCGCATTCTGGTTTGGGAATGACATGTCAAGGAAGACGTTCTAGACCTACCCCCTGGACATCCACCCTCGGATAACCACCCCCGGCCAACTACCCGTAGGACAACTACCATCTAGGGAACCACCCTCTAGGACGACTACCCCGCACAACTACCCCCAGACAACTACCCCCTAGGACAAATCTCCTAGGGGGTAGTTGTCCGGGGGTAGTCGTCCTAGGGGTTTGTTGACTGGGGGTTAGTTGTCCGGGGGTAGTCGTCCTAGGGGGTAGTTGTCCTTGGGGGTAGTTGTCTGGGGGTAGTTGTCCGGGGTAGGTATCCGGGGGGTAGTTGACTGGCGGTGGTTATCCTCCTCCTCCTTCTCATTCTTCCTTGCGTATCCGGACACTTACCCCCTGGACTAGTCCAAGGAAGAATGAGGAGGACGAGGAAGATGAGCAGGAGAAGAAAAAGAAGAAGAAGAAGAAGAAGAAGAAGAAGAAGAAGAAGAAGAAGAAGAAGAAGAAGAAGAAAAAGGAACAAAAGAAGAAGGGGGGGGGGGGAAAGAGGAAGAAGGAAAAGAAGAGGAAGCACCTTAATTGAATTAAATAATATCCGCATTGTTCTCTATCAAAAATCAAATTTGCATCAAAATTAATGAGACCACGTGTTATAAGTGTTGGAATTACTAGCTTAATATAATGACTTTGTCAGCCCGTTAGTTGAATTATACACATTTGTCTTCGAAATCGTTAGCAAATAGTACATGCTTATAGACTCGTATTTTCAATTTTAATTCTATTCTTTGTTACTTTTAGTCCTTGCGAGAACTCAAGATTATGTCTTTAACGTGTATTTCCATATTTTGTCTAACTCGAAAACGTTTACAGAACACAATCCCAAAGAATTTCCGAAAATCAACCTAAATTAATTTCGATGACGTTTCGTATGATTTTTATGGGATCGTTACATTCTTGAAGTCTTTGCGATTTCTTAAGACGACTACATATCTGCTGAAAAAATGCCAAATATGATTATTTATGTTTTAAGAATGAGATAAATATTCTTTGGTGAACTTGTTTATGCAGCTATCTCGAGGGCCTGAACATTACCGAAATACAGGAAGGTACTTTTCAAGGGTTATCATCTTTACGGATTTTGTAAGTTTACACATTTTGTATATTAAACAATTACAAGTATTCATTCACTTGAATACTATAATTGTTATTGTTTATGTTTGACTAGTTTGTATGCATGTGGTTAAACATCATTTGCTATTATAAGCAATGGACCCGGTATAATGGCTACGACTTCAATTATGTAATCTTGTTTATCGATCATAATTCTTTTGAATAAAGAATTTCTATAAAAACGACGTTGATTATTCGGTGTTTAATAGGCAATAGTTGCTCTTAATATGATTGTTCTGTATCGTTTTGTATTTAATCGAAGGTATTTGCCCCTTTTGATGTATGCATGCATTACTTCATTGATTTCGATATCATGCAAGAAACTACACATCTTAAGTAATCCTTTTTAGATTTCATGTTCTATTTACCATCTAACGTCTATTCCGTGTTTCTGAAAGATATTCCATTGTCATTTGCTCTGTCTCTTTAAATAAACGCCATATATTTTAATTATGATATTGCATATGAATGAAAAACCTGAGCAAATTGTTATTTTTATGTCATGGTGGTGGGGTATAAAATATATACGATTTCTTTACTAATATGAAATGTAAAATTGTCTCTCGCTCTTCCTCCAACTGAACAGAAATCTGACATCGAATTTCATCAGCTATATACCTCGCGGAGCTTTTGATGGACTGGAAAGCCTGCGGATGTTGTTAGTTGAAACCCGATGTTAATTTATATATTTTATGAATGAAGGAAAAAAAAATCAAGGACAATAGAAAGAAAACTGTATGATTAAAAAAGTAATATCTATTGAATATATTCAGCTGTTCATTAGAATGTTAAACGCAAACATGATAATGATGGTGATATGAGACGATTATGACGATGCTAATGATAATGATAATTAAAATATTAAAAATGAATATAATAATTATAATAATAATGATCGTAATAATGGTAATGATGATAAAATAATAAGAGCATTAAAGGTAATACAAAGTTTTGGTATGAGGTCATAAATTTGGTTCAAATATAAATATTGGAAGCATATGAGATCCGACAATATTTAGTGATCATTGTCGCGGTTGCAATCGAGTCTAAAGTTATGAAAATGTCAATAATCAACTTTTTATGCTGTATAGCTCCCTCTCAAGGTCAAGATATTTGGATCACTGAAAATAAGGAATAAACCAGGAATACCGCTTTGAATTGCATGGGGAGAACTTGAAAATCAAGCTGCAATTTTATTCAATCTGTGAATGCAAAAGAGACACAAAACGATCATAAATACATGTACAATCTTTGCACATATAAATGAAGACTGATATATCCAAACATCAACTAAGCTAATGAAAGCTAAATGCCTACATCAAATTAACTGTATCCACTTCAAGCTCGACATATACTACCATTGAATCAAATTGCAGCTTGATTTTCAAGCTCTCCCTATGCAATTCAAAGCGGTATTCCTGGTTTATTCCTTATTTTCAGTGATCCAACAATTAAATTTCTTTGAGAAATCGGATACGAAGTCTAGCGAGGAATTATGACTGAGACAGAAAAGAGCCTGAAGCTGAAACGGAGAGGTGCTAAGGCCAGGTTTACACGGTTCGGGAACGCCTTGGAGTTCTTGGTACAGGAGAGTCGTCCACATGATGAGATAACCAAGGCAGAAAAGGACTATGAACAGGCCTACACAGATCTTCAGGTTAAACATGAAGCTCTAACCGAAATCATCGAAGATGATGCTGTATTTGAGGAAGAGGAGAAGTATATAGACGAATGTCAGAGAGTATTTCTGAGGCTGAAGGTCAGAGTTAAGGACCTTGTTGGAGAGACAGCTGCGGCTAGTCATGATCAGCCTACAGATGCAGAGAACCCTTCTCCTGTAGATACATATAGCAGTCAAGTACAGAGACCAGTGATGAGAGCAGAGTCGTCTTGTTTCAAGATGGAGAGACCCAAACTACCGAAATTCAGTGGGGACATACGAGAATATCACGCTTTTAAAGCTGATTTTCAACATGTGGTTCACCGGCAGTATGAAGGTAGAGATGCCCTTATGATACTCAGATCATGTTTGATTGGAAAGCCTCTGCAGAATATTCAGGGATTGGGGCATGATTATGAAGCAGCTTGGAGACAACTGGATCTACACTACGGTGATCCTAGGATGGTCGCAGATGTTGTTGTTAACGACATCTCCAAGATGAAGCCCTTGAAGCCAGAAGAGGATGATAGGTTTTGCAGTTTCGTCAACCTAATTCGCAGAAGCTTCAACTCTTTGAACGAGATAGGAAGGGCCAATGATATGAACAACAATCATATGTTGGCTCTCATCGAGAGAAAGATGTGTATCGATGACCGAAGGATGTGGTTTCGCAGCCAAGAAGAAGGCAGGTTACCAACTATGGATTCTCTCTTGCAATGGATGGAAATAGAGTTGAAGGCTAGACTCGGATCATCAGCACCAGTTGATGCAAGAGCCAGTGGTGCTGTTAATGAGATATCGACAACACCAGCAAGGACGGAGTACCAATGTTGGATGTGTAAATCCAATGATGGCCATTGGACTGACCAATGTAAGAAGTTTGTGTCCAAGTCTCAGGAAGAACGAGTGCAGCTGGTAAAAGACAACTATGCTTGCTTTAGTTGTTTGAAGAAAGCAAGCCAGGAACATAGAATGTCTACATGCAACAGAAAGAGACGCTGCACAGAGACTATTGATGGAGACCAGTGCAAGTCTTACCATCATCCTTTGCTACATTTTCAAAGTAGGAGTAATTATGATGTTACTTTTGTCAGTGGTGGAGTCGATGCTACCGATACTGATAGGTGAAGCCATCGGGCAAGATGATGTTAAGAAGAGATGTAATGTTTTGCTGGACTCTGGATCTCAGATTTCGCTGGTCAAACAGTCTTTTGCCAATGATCTACAATTGCAAGGAAAGAGGACATCAATCTCCATTACGAAGCTAGGTGGAGCAGCAGAAGAACTTGAGACTTGCATGTACAAAGTGCCAGTGAAAGCATTGGGTAAGAAAGGCAAAGTTCATATGGTTTCTGCTATTGGGTTGCCATGTATAAACGACGACATAGCAGAAGTGAAGATTGACGCCATAGCCCAGCAGTTCACTCTGAAGAAGAAAGATCTTCGTAGAGGAAGTGGACCTGTTGATCTGCTTATTGGAGTTGACCACAACAAGTTTCATGGAGGAGAGACAAGAGAAGGGGAGCGTTACACTGCTAGATGTTATCCTCTCGGATGGGTCGTTTTTGGATCTTCACCAAATCAGATAGCCTCGTCTGGTAGAGTGTTCCATGTCCAGTTAATCAAACCAGTGGACATGTCCAGCTTTGGGAGCACAGAGACGATGGGAGTTAGAGGTGGTAGCTGCAAATGTAGCTCTGCAGGAATGACGAAGCCAGCTTCCCGAGACCTCACAGACAACGAGTGGCAAGCAGAAAGGAAGTTGCAATGTTTCGAGAAGAGACTGCTCAAGAATCCAGAGCATAGTCGAGCATACCAAACTCAGATGACCAGAATGGTAGAGATGGGGTTTGCTCGCAATCTAACTGAGAAGGAGATTGAGTGTAAAGGCCCAGTGCATCACATCTTGCACCATGCAGTCGTGAGACCTGAACAGAAGAGCACCCATGCAGTGCGCTTTGACTTCAACTCATCGTCAAAGTTTCAAGGGCACGGTCTCAACGACTATTGGTATAAGGGACTAGAATTGCTGATCTCACTGTTTGGAGTTCTGATGAGATTTTGGGAGAACCTCATTGCCGTTGCGTCTACTATGGCACAGATTGCTTTGAGACAGACTGCAGAAGAAGCAGAGAATATGCAACCCCAGGCTGCCTGTGTGTTAAAGGAGAATACATATATGGATGACATATGTATCTCAGTTCAAACTGAAGATGAGGCAAGAAAGCTGACCAGAGAAGTAGATGAGGTGTTAGCAGAAGGAGGTTTTGGGGTGAACGGATGGATGTCTAACAGACCACTGAAAGAGAATGACAACACATTATGTACAGATGAAATCAACCTCTTGAAAACACTTTCAGAGAAGAAAGTGTTGGGAATCGCTCGGAACCAAGAAAAGGGCTCGTTCACCACTAATAAGGTGAACTTGGATGGAAGGAGAGATAATGCAACTCTAACAAAGAGAGAGTTTCTAAGCAACACAGCTCGCCTCTTCGATCCGATAGGATTTGCTGCTGCTTTCCTTTTGCGAACTAAGACCAGGATGCAAAGACTGTGGCAATTAGGCCTAGGATGGGATGAGGTGCTTCCGCATGATGAAAAGATGAAATGGGTGTCCTTCTTCAAAGAGACTAAGAATCTGAGACACCGTTCTGAGTTCGGCGTATCGTCCGAAGCTTCCAGGAAGAGCTGGACGCGTGATGTAATGTATGAGTTGACTTTGTTGTAATGTTGTCTGATCATAATGCAGTTAGGGGGTAATGGACCTTAGGTAGGATTGTTCAAGTGTATCCTGGGACTGATGGGAAGGTTAGGACAGTTAAAGTAATGTCTAAAGGGGCAGAGTATCGACGTCCAATTCAGAAGATTGTAGTGATATACCCGGCAGAGGGTTACGAGGAGGATTAGACTATTAGCGTATCATATGTGATATTACATTCGTTGTAACAATTTATTTTCAGGGATTTATACTGAAAAATATTATATCAAAGCTAAATTGGTTTAGAATCTGGAGTATTAGGGTTTGAAAAGTTGTTTTGTTACAACGACAGTTGTGATACCTGTACTGTATGTAATCTGTAAATATTCTTCTTTTACATGTATTAGGATTTGTTCCCATGTTTACTACCTTTTTAGTGGTGGGGGGAAGGATGGTTTGATGACAAACCAGGAGTTAGCTCAATTATTTTCCTTTTATTTCAGAAGACACCGTAGCTTAATTTACGTCTACCATAGCGCGTATGGAATTTATGCTAATTCTAGTTCAGAGCGAATTTATGCTAATTCTAGTTCAGAGCAAATTTATGCTAATTCTAGTTAAGAGCGACGTGTTCGCAGACGCCATGTTTCTTTCGTTAGGAAAGGATGTTCAGGAGACGAAAGTCTTACTATGTTGTTTTAGTTAGCCAGGAAATGTCGCCATAGAAATTGAATTGTTGGATCACTGAAAATAAGGAATAAACCAGGAATACCGCTTTGAATTGCATAGGGAGAGCTTGAAAATCAAGCTGCATTTGATTCAATGGTAGTATATGTCGAGCTTGAAGTGGATACAGTTAATTTGATGTAGGCATTTAGCTTTCATTAGCTTAGTTGATATTTGGATATATCAGTCTTCATTTATATGTGCAAAGATTGTACATGTATTTATGATCGTTTTGTGTCTCTTTTGCATTCATAGATTGAATAAAATTGCAGCTTGATTTTCAAGCTCTCCCTATGCAATTCAAAGCGGTATTAATGGTTTATTCCTTATTTTCAGTGATCTAATATTAATTAACCTATAAAACAATATTTCTTGACTGAAATCAACCGATTAGCTATTTCCGTTTGGAAATTATAGCACCGGTAAATTTTTATTCCATTTTTCTCAAAAGCAGAAGTGTTTTAGGGGCTAAAAATTGTTGTGCTTATAATTCATCCACAGGGGCATCACAATATATAAAAATCACTATCCACCCAATTTTCAAAATTTACCAAAACTTTGTATTACCTTTAAAAAGTAATACAAAGTTTTGGGAAATTTTGAAAATTGAGTAGATGCGATTCTTTACAATTTGGATATATTTGGATGCCCCTGTGATTGTATCATAAGCACTAGAAAATTTAGCCTCGAAAACACTTCTGCTTTCGAGAAAAATTGAATATAAAAATATACCAGTGCTCCTGGTAAATTTTGATAAATTTCAAATAGCGCCTACAGCCGTATAATGGTAGCTGCGACCATGAAAATATCAGAATATATAGATGTGATATATAACTTTCAAACGAGAATAGCAAATTGGTCGATTTTAGTCAAGAAACGTTGTTTTATAGCTTAATTAATATCTTGACCTTGAGAGGGAGCTATACAACAAAAAGAGTGTATTATTTAAAATTTCATAACTTTAGACTCGATTTCAACCGCGACAACGATCACTGAATATAGAAGGATCGCATATGCTTCCAATATATATGTAGGAATAAATGTTGTGTAGAAACTAAATGAGTATTCTTACCGTTTATAATAATCCTCAGCGTTGATATCTCGGGTATAGAAAGAAACTGGAAGGCGAATCATGAAGAGGATGAATAGAGCGATAAAGCGAAGTGAAGAATCAGCACGAGGAGCGCGACTAGCTAGCTAGCGAAATTAACGCGAATATGATGAAGGCACACAACCTTACAGTTCACACTTCCCGAAATTAAATAGAAGACAAATCTAATTTGCGATTTAGTCCTCAAATAAAATGATGATGATGAAACTCGCTATTAACGTGAAAACTAATGAGAAGAAGCTTGTTGAATAATCCGAAAACGTCCTATATAAAACACGTCCGATGATGAAAACTGAAGACAGGAGAAGTGAGTAAAAACCGTGTGTGGAGACTTATCCAAGTGCGCTAAAAGTGTGATGATTGGCTTATTAAAACAATAAGGTGCGATCCGATTGGAGTAACTAAAATAACACTCTTGTTGCTGGGTGGTTCCATGGATGAAATTAACTCAGAGAATATGTAGAATGTGCAGCTGTAAATTGTTATTGTTATTGAAGCTGGCTGAACGTAAAGTACTAACAAAAGGAATGGTTAAAATGCTGGCTATGTACAATGTTGATAAACATTTGTGACCTTTGTAAAGTTCAAGTCACTACATCTAGCACCCCCCAAGAGTGATGCGAGATAGAATGAGTAGCAATCGATAAAATGGTACTGTCCAAAATACATGTAGAAGAAATATATTTACAGCAAATACATATGAGACGATGTCGCAACAATCGCAAGAAACTTGAATCCAAGATGGCAATATAATTGTCTTCAGCCATAACCAAAACATTCCACATAGCGTGCTGGCCACCTGACATGCCGGCCGGATCGCGTCTTTCGCGGCTCGACAGGCGGGGTAGAAGCAGAGCTCGGCAGTCGATCTGCGACCAACGATGACGGGGGATCTACGCGTGGAGGCCGAACCATGGTCGATGATGACGGGATATCGTCGTGTGGTGGTGCGATCTCCGGAGTTGCGCAATCCTCTAAGAATGCAGGCTTTAAACGTTCTACACTGACGTTCACACGCTTACCATTAATGTCAATGGAGAAAAACTTGTCAGTACGGCGGAGAACTGGGAATGGACCCCTGTAGGGCGGTTCTAGGGGTTTCCTGACTGCATCTTGGCGTAGAAATACATGGCTAGCAGAATGAAGGTCAGCATGAATCTGGGTACTAGCATGTCGTTGTTTGCGAGGAGGGGTGGGGCGTAGCTTACTCATCAGCTCTTTCAGTCTATGTACATAGTTCGCCGGATCAATGTCTGTGTCTGGCTTCGTCGGTTCTACGAATTGGGCAGGCAACCTAATGCTTGTCCCAAACACCAACTCAGCTGAGGAGCATCCAATGTCGGACTTGACAGCTGTGCGTATCCCCAATAGTACAAGGGGCAACACTTCAGTCCAGCGTACAGTGTTATATGTCTTGATCGAAGCTTTGAGCTGACGATGTAGGCGTTCTACTAACCCATTCGAGGCCGGATGATATGAAGTCGTCCGAATACGAGTAGTGCCGAGTAGGTTGGTGAGGGCGAGGAAAAGGGCGGACTCGAACTGTCTCCCCCTGTCTGTAGTGATTGTTGCCGGTGTGCCAAAATTCGCCACCCATCTGGCCACAAAAGTCCGTGCTACCGTCTCGGCAGTAATGTCCGGGATCGGAATAGCTACTGGCCATCTGGTAAAGCGATCAACACAAGTCAAGAGATAGCTATTACCTTCCGAAGGAGGAAGTGGACCCACGAGGTCTATATGAACATGCGAGAATCGAGCATCTGGGGATGCGAATGTGCCCAAAGGTACTCTGGTGTGTCGATGAACTTTACACTTCTGACACTCCAGACAGGTACGCGTCCAGTTCCTGATGTCGCGCTTGATTCCCGGCCAAACGAAACGCTCTGTTATCACCTTCTGAGTTGCTCTAGCACCAGGGTGTGATAATCCGTGGAGTGAATTGAAAATTGTTCTCCTATGCGAAACTGGCACTAGAGGCCTGGCACTCCCAGTGGAAATGTCACAAAGCAAAGTGGTGAGTGTGCCTGGAAGTGGTATCGACTCAAGCTTGAGCGAAGTGTCTGACAAGTCGGCAAACTCCTCATCATCCTTCTGTGATCGAGCTAAGGCAGCAAAATCGACAATGGAAGTTGAGTCGACGGCACTGATAGGCAGGCGAGAGAGGGCGTCGGCTGCAGTGTTGTGCTTACCACTGATATGACGTATATCAGAGGTGAACTGTGAGATGAGATCTAGGTGTCGAATCTCTCGGGGTGAGTGTCTGCCCGGCTTAGCCTGCAAAGCGTAGGTGAGGGGCTTGTGATCGGTGAAGATGGTGAAAGTCCGGCCTTCGAGCATATGGCGGAAATGTCTCACGCTCTGGTAGGCAGCGAGCAGCTCGCGTCCAAACGTGCTGTACCGAGTTGCTGCCGGCTGGAGTCGCTTGGAAAAGAAAGCGAGTGGCTGCCAAGTGTTGTCCACTAACTGTTGGAGCACTCCACCTACACCATAGTCTGATGCATCGACGAGTAAACAGAGAGGAACTCCAGATCGAGGGTGCACAAGGATAGAAGCGTCAGCTAAGTCCTGTTTAGCTCGATTAAAAGCTAAGAGCTCAGCTTCATTGAGTGTGATAGACTCTTTCTTCTTCTTCCTGCCTTTAAGTAGATCTGTCAAAGGTTGGAGCACTTCAGCACAGTGAGGAATAAAACGTCTGTAAAAGTTCATGAGACCAAGAAATTCTCTCAGTGTAGTGAGTGAAGTTGGAGTAGGAAACTTCCGGATGTGTTCCACCTTGTCGTTGAGAGGACAGATACCATGCTGATCCACGTGGTGGCCTAAAAAAGTCAATGAAGATACACCAAACTGACACTTGGAAGTGTTGATGACAATGCCATACTCACGAAGTCGATCAAAAAGTAGGCGGAGGTGTGTCACATGTTCGGCATCCGTAGTACTGGCAACGAGCAGGTCGTCGAGGTACACAAAGACAAAAGGGAGACCACGAACAACTTCATCCATCAGCCGTTGAAAAGACTGAGCAGCGTTTCGAAGTCCGAAGGGCATGCGAACCCACTCGAAAAGTCCGAATGGAGTGGTTATTGCAGTCTTCGGGATATCACACGGCTCGACTGGGATCTGGTGATAAGCACGAATTAAATCAATCTTAGAAAAAATCGTCTTACCACTGAGGCAGGATGAGAAATCTTGTAGG